CGAGCGTGTCATGAACCCACCGTGAGGTAGGTCCCACCTCACACCCTATAATCATCTCTCATTAGTAGGTACATGTGTGCATGTGCACGTCACACATTGCGGTTCCCGATACGATCTCAAGCAGGACTCAGAAATCCGGGTCCCCACGCGGTCATTCGATCCGACAAGATCGAGGCCCAACCAACACAGCCACAAGAAGCCTTGCTCTTTCAAGAGTGACGGAGCAACGCTCACATACATCTCGGGTCCAAGAATAGTAGCCCGAAATGAATCCGCTGCTGCCTTCGCATTGGACGCCCGCGTCTATCTAGGCAGCATTATAATCACGAATTTCATGGCCCAAGATTGGAAAAGTCCTGAGCGGAGTAATATTTACATGAGTGAAATGAAGCAGGAGATTCTGTTGGGGGAGACCATGAAAGGAGTTTGGTGTATATTCCTCGCACTTAACCTGGTCCACAAAAAAAGTTGATATCAGCAGGCCATGAGAGCTGTGATGGAAATTTTCCATCAAATCGCCATACAAGAAAGTTCCTTGTCACTAAGATGCTAGTCTATTTTTTTCTCCAGCTTTCATCTTCCTTGAGAAAAGGTATGGCACGCATGATGCCTAAAAAGAAGAAAGCAAAAAGGTCATATGACTGAAAGATTAAAAGAGACGACTCAAGGTTTTGAAGCCTATGATTGATGCCTTTATGGCTCAGAACAAGGTTCGACCCTTGGTCCCACTCATCTTACACAAGATACAACATTTTCAAACCTATGCTCAAGGCCTTCATGGCTCAGGATAAGGTCTGAACTCTTGAACTTAGAAGACAACTAACGCTCTTATCAGACCAACGAGCAGAGGTAACCCAAAAGTATCACAAGCACAGATCTAAGGCCTGATGACCAAATGCATTAAACATTTGACCTCAGGACCAGAGTCTTATCACCAGAAATAAAAAAGGACTCGATGGAAGTCCTTGACTCCAAAGCGAACACCTAAGGGAAGAATCAGCCCGACTCTAAAAGAACACCAAATGGAGTTAAATAGAGTCCGGAGAAATCGTTATAAGAAGTATTAAGAACCAAAGACATAGTCCCTTGAGACCCTATGTTCGAAGGTCGAGACCAGAATCATGCTCTTAGAAGCATCAAACCCAAATAAAAAAGGGAATTAATCTTGGAGTTACTGAATCTTCTTTTCGATATAACCATGTTCTTAGTTAAAAGAAGCATAGGCAGGATGGATAAAGTAAACAAGGATGAAAAGGCAAAGAAAAATCCCTAAAAGTAAGGAAGACTCACCCTAAATGATTTGAAGATCGAAATATTGTTTGAGTCAAAAGCCATAAACTTCTCAGGAAATTAAAGAGCAAAGCCTAAGAACTCTTTGGAAGTTGAAGGAAGATGTCGAAGGCTCTCCTTGAAGAAGATGCAGAGGGCTCTCCTCGAAGAAGACTCTCCCTAATGAAGAAGGTTCTTATTATCGTATTACCCAATTGCCCTTGGCATTATTTGAAACAAAAGGGTAAAAATTTGGATTTATGAAATCGAGCTCATCGTGCATCAAATAAGCAAGAGATAGGGGTGCAAACCGTCAGCATACGAAATGATATGCATATCCGGAAGATGTAGAGATGATGTAGAATGCAAAAAATACGCAGCACAGGGCACAGATTCAAACAAAAAAGGCTTCATTGATAACAAGAGGTGGAACTTAGCCCTTACATAACAAAAAAAAGAAAAAACAGCAAGAAGAAGGAGAAGCTCTGCCTGCCTATGCCTTAGGGCATTATTCCCCAAAGTGGATCATCTTGTTGATTTTAGACAGCCCAAATGCTCCTTTACCCATTCAACCTCTCCCCGACAAAAATCGGACATATATTTGATGGTGCTTCACCTCTCGTCGGAGACGAACCACCATTTGCCTCAGGCTTGCAATCTCCCTAGACTTTGGGTCCAGCATAAGCACGACTTCGAGGACCTCCTTGGCAGACATGGAGATAATCTCAGCAGCAATGGCCTCCTCTGAAGAAGAGACCAAGTCCTCAACAACAAAGGCTACTATTTATAAAACTTATACCTCTCTCTCTAAAACTTAAACTATGAGATAGATTCTCACTCTACAATTTTGACATAGTTTCTCTCTCTAAAAAGTTTTTTGTAGTTTATCTCTCTAAAATTTAATATGGTTTCTCTCTCTAGATTTTAAGATACTTTCACTCTCAAAAACTTAAAATTTGAGAAAATTTCTCTCGTAAAATTTCAAATATAGTCTCTTTAAAAAATTTCAAGTTCTTGCTCTCTAAAACTTAAAATTTGAGATAGTTTTTCGCTTTAAAAATTTTGAGATAATTTCTCTATCTAAAACTTTTAAAATAAGTTATTCTCTCTAAAATTTTCAGATATTGGCTCTCTCTAAACTTCATATGGTTTCTCTCTCTAAAATTTGATATAATTCCTCTCTCTAAGTTGTTAAGCTGCTTTCACTCTCTAAATCTTAAAATTTTAGATAATTTTTCTCCAGAAAAATTTAGAGATAATTTCTCTCTAAAAAAATCCAAGTACTCTCTCTCTCTAAAGCTTAAAATTTGATATAGCTCCATAAAAATTTTAAAATAGTTTCTCTATCTAAAATTTTGAGATATTTTCTCTCTAAAAGTTTTCAGATACTTACTCTCTCTAAAACTTAAAAGCTAGATAATTTCTCTCTCTAAAATTTGATATAATTTTTCTCTCTCTAAAATTTTATATAAGTTCTCTTTCTGAATTTTTAAGATATTTCTCTCTTTAAAACTTAAAATTTTAGATAGTGTCTCTCTCTAAAAATTTTGACATAGTTTCTAACTATAAAATTTTTTGGGTACTTTTTCTCTTTAAAACTTAAAATTTGAGATAGTTCTCTCTACAAATTTTGAATTAGTTTCCTTCTCTAAAAGTTTTGAGGTAGTTTCTCTCTCTAAGACTTAAAATTTGCGATAATTTTCCTCTTTAAATATTTTGAGATAGATTCTATCTCTAAATTTTTGAGGTACTTTCTTTCTCTAAAATTTAAGGTTCTCTCTCTCTACAAATTTTGAGAGAGCTTATCTCTCTAAAACTAAAAATTTGATATAGTTTCTCAACCTAAAACTTTAGAGATAGTTTCTCTCCCTAAAAATTTACAATACCTTCTCTCTCTCTTTCAAACTTACAATTTGAGTTGTTTTCTCTCTTTAAAAATTTGAGATAGTTTCTCTTTTTAAAACTTAAAATTTGAGATAGTTCTGTCTTTAAATATTTGAATTAGTTTCTCTAAAAAAAATTAGGTACTTTTTGTCTCTAAAAATTAAAATATGAGATGGTTTTTGTCTCTTAACCTAAAGTTTGAGATAGTTGCTCTCTCTAAAAATTTTGAGATAGTCTCTCTCTAATAATTTTCAGGTACTTTCTCTTTATAAAATTTAAAATTTGTGATAGTTTTTTCCTCTAAGAATTTTTAGGTACTTTCTTTTTATAAGATTTAAAAGTTGAAGAGTTTATCTCTCTAACAATTTTGAGATAGTTTCTCTCATTAAAATTTAAAATTTAGGATAGCTTCTCTGTAAAAAATTTGGGAGTTTGTCTCCCTAAAATTTTGAGATATTTTCTCTTTTGAAACCTAAAATTTGAGATAGTTTCTCTCTCTAAAATTTTTTTAATTACTTATCTCTCTAAAATTTGATATAGTTTCTTTCTTTAAAATTTTATTATATTTTCTCTATTTAAAACTTAAAATTTGAAATAGTTTCTATGTAAAGATTGAGATAGTTTCTCTCTCTATAAAATTTAGGTAGCTTTTCTCTTAAAAATTTTAAGATACTTTATCTCTCTAAAATTTATACTTTGAGATAGTTTCTCTCTCATTTTGGCAGATTAATTGTATTTTATAAAGTGGGTGTTTCCATTACAGAGAAATTTGGCTGAAATCAATTTTTTAAAATAACGACAAGGATATTAATTTTTTTATTTTTTGCTTGAAATGAGGAAAACAATTTCCATCTCAAAAATTTGATCAGATAGTATAAATGTGCTATCTCCTCATAAAAGTATTTCTGGAAATGTATTTCTAGGTATCCAAATAGCCCCTAAAACATCTTCTGATTTGTGTTTGATAAAACCAATTCTTTAGTATAGGAATTGCTCTAAAACAATTTAAATAATAATTTAAAAAATATAAAAAATTAAAATAGATGGGAACTATGTTATTTCTAGGTTCCTGACAAACTCACGTGTTCTTTGATAGAAACAAACGTGTCTTAGATCAATTCCTAGTTCTGACTATAATTTCTTATCCCGATCGCCAAATTGCCATTTGGCACTAATCCTTTAATGTGGACAAATCATAGCAATTTTCCGTTTAAAACATGATGTTTTAAAAAAAATCTCTCAATTTTTTAAATTAGTTAAGAATTCCGAGTTTTTCAAATGATATTAAAAAAATTACTTTTTTTTAATGGAACCGATATAAATTTGTATTTTATATTTTTTCAAAAAATCATTTCAAAAATAATTTTAATACTGGAAAAAGAGTTATAATTTTAATAATAAAACTAAAACACATTTTCAAATAGTGTCGAAAAATGTAGTTTAATACTGAAAATTCTGTAATAGCCTTAAAATATATTTTCATGTTTAATTATAAAATTTAAAGTTTAAAAAATAATATAGATCGAGTAGATCTATTAAAATTTGAAAAATCTAAAAAATTGACCGTCCAAAAATCTGTTATAAGATGCACTATTTTTAAAACTTAAATTTACTTTTTTTTCCATGTCGATGCATCTTGATGTTGAGATGATTAATTTGAGGATATTTGATCATCCAAATAGCCTCTTATAAATTTTTTTGAAGTGGGCTCTGATTTGATTGTTCAGAGCCTCGGCTCCGTATAAACTTTTTTCCTAATATTATTCCTGACAGATGGTACCAATTACTCCACGAATTTAGTTTGATCTCCCTATCCAGAAGTTTCAAAGTCTCTAAAACAGGTTTTCACAGTTAACAAATAATATTGGCCATTGCAAACCACGATTTGTTCGACGCGGTCAGCAATTAGATGTTTTAGGTGCGGTTCTTACTAAGAGGAATTAACTTCTCTCATCCAATAAAATAACAGGGAATTGCCCTCCATCGCTTAGAATAAAATAATGGAAAATAATGTACTGGTCGTGCAACAGTTGCAGTTCAAAGAGCCTCAGTGCGCCGTTCCAACAACCCAAAGTCCGGATTTTTTCCAATTAGATAAACTAGAACTTGCTTCGGTAACTTCGCTTATCTGATACTCCGATGGTTCAAAATTAGATGAAGGAATCTCCTCATCTAAAATTCAGAATTCTCAATCGCCGTTACCTTGCGCATCTCACTCTAATCTCAAACTGTGCCAGATGGTATCTATGGCGATGCCACTTCAATTGAAGGCGCCCTCAATCAGTGGAGATTGCGGAGATCTTTTCAAATTGCCTACTTCTCGATGTCTTGATAAAGCGTCGAGTGTTTCGATCAGGAGTTACTCTGGGAGATGTTTTCATCATGTTCGGAGATTTGAGGTTTTCTGTGAAGCTCAGGTGAGGTTTACTGGGATGATTCTTTTTTAAGGGGAGCTTTGCGTCTATCTGTGAAATTTTATCTTTGTGCTCTTTGATCAGTATGCAATCTTAGTAGAGAATGGAGCACTGTTTGTGGTTGTGATTTTTTTTCTTTGTGTCTTTTGATTAACCTGCAAGCCACGAAAACCTTCTTTCTTTTATTCGTTAGAAAAATTTTGCATTACAACTAGTGAACTTTCGTGCATTCACCTTCAATTTATTTATATATACAACTTGACCAAAATATAACAGAGGAAAATTATGTGTATATAGAGTCTAGGAATGCATACTTTCTTCCCGTTGATTTTAATTGTTTGAACTTTTAAATATACCTAAATTAGTTGCTCGAGTTTTTCAGTCCCGGACTTATTATCTAAACTCAATCTGATTGCTCTCTCGAGTTTAACTCGTCTTGTTCTGGAATTCTAGTTGTGCGGAATTAAGAGAAGTTTTGACCACATGAGAATCATGAAAGCAAGTGAAGTTCTTCCATAATTTTGTCAAAGACATTTCATTTTGTAAGACTTTTTACCCGTTTACTAATTGATGTGCATTTGTTTTTTGATTTTATGGTACCAAACTAGCAACATTATGATCCTTCAGCTTTGAGGAAATGACAGTCTCAAGACGAGAATGTGGGGCAGCTGTAAGACTAGCCATGCTGAATAGGACATGGGTGGTCAAGAAACAACATATCTATAGGATGAGTGTATCTTTGATGAGGATGTTGAGATGGATGAGTGGCAAGACAAGAAACGATAGCATTCGGAATGAAGACACACGAGAGAACTTAGGGCTGGCTCTAATAGGCGATAAGATGCAGGAAAATAAACTTAGATGGGCTGGTCATATGCAGTGTAAACTTAATACAATACTAGGTAATTTGGTTCAAGTGGAAGGCTCTAAAAAGGAAAGGTCAAAAGGACATGGATGGAAGTAGTGAGAAGAGATATGATATCTTATGGTCTGACCGAGGTATGGCCCTTGATAGAGCAGAACGACGAAATGTGATTCTTGTAGCTGATCCAAAATAGTTGGTATAAGGCTCTGATGATGATGTATCAAGACGTGAGGATTGAGATGGAATTTTTAAAGGGTGATAAGGAAGAATTACTAATAATATGTTTGATAAAACTGAGTCGAACGACACAATAGAAGAGTGGATTATGGAAAGTGAATTAGCGGCCTAGGATGGACTAGAGCAACTTGCAAGATACTGTTCTTAACAATAACTATATGATGAACTGTTCTTAATGATACTATATAATAACACTAGAAAAAGTCCCCTTCCATTATCAAGGCCTTGAGAAGAAGCAAAATAAACATCGGGAACTTGTCAAAACTTTTGACTCCAATATTTGTAGCATTGCAGCTATCTAAAAGCCTCACAAACTTCTAAGGTTATGATGCGAATGTTCTCTCTAGCTAGCCCCCCTGACCTAAATTGTCCAAGGTAACTGCCATTAAAATTGAGTATGAAACCCTTAAGCAACTTTGCTTCATGCCTCCAATTTCCAGCCACAAGCCAGCTCCATGTGCACCAAAAGTAGATGAACTTTCTGTGATTGAGGGCCCATCTAATTACTGAATCCATATTGTGTATTCTCAATCTCGAATAGTCCATATTGGTTCTCTTGAGTATCATGGTTTTCCTTGACCTTAAAAATCACCCAAGGGACATCTTCTGAAGTAAGTGAATTGGACAATGAAAGGCTGAATGGACTTGGGAGTTGCACTAAGGCCATGGTACTTTTTTGGGTGTGGGTCTTTTTGCCATCCCACAGGCTTGTGCATGAGCCTAGCCTGTGAGTTGAGCATCAAGAGCCCTAATGGGCTATCCCACATTTACAGCTCAACCTGGAAATCCAAAGTCAACTTTTTATTGATCCGTCAGTTAAGAGATTGAAGCTGATGTTTAATGCACAAGAATGTTAGATGTTTGAATGTAGTACCACGGTCCTTCTGGAATCCTAAGAAGAATTCTCTATCTATATTATTCTCGAAATCAATATCTATTGTGATCCCTGCCTTTACATTTCTAGACTTCAAATCTAGTTTTCGAAGCATCACAACCGCACTGTCGAGCATTGGGCCTTCCCTTATAAAAGCCCTTGTGTCCCAGCCACCATATTAGGATAAACTCACTGGTTTGAACATACTTTGTCTATTGTGTCTTTTCATCCTTTGAGCTTAAATTGGTTCCCAATAATATCCCTTTTTCTCATCACCTTATTTCTTCGATAAAAGGATACAGAAGTAAGCCATGTGATCCCTTCCTCCAGAGTTTTTGGATCAATGCTGAAAGCACGTCTGGTATGACAAGTTTGTTCCTTGGAGTGCTAGTGATAACAATATGCATCTATTCTCAAACTAGTCATATCTGCAGTTTGAAGAACCTCTTATAATTTATTGAACTCGTAGATAACCTTTCATTGTCTGGTTTGCTATTCTAGAATTCTCGAACCGGTAGTGCACTTAATGTTGATAAAAGCATATGAAACTTCCTCTAGTTATCAACCTCAATGATTCTCTTACGGTATTTGTCATCCTTTCCATTTTGCAGTTTGTTTCTTCTTTTTGTCTCCTTTTCATTCCGAAAAACAAAGCATTGGGACATTTTTATTGATCTGTTTTGTGTCCCCATGTGAACTTTCGCCGAAGATAAGGCATAGAGTTTTAGGTCGAGCGACATAAATAACATATAAGTCGCGGCTGCGAAGGCCACTACTCATTCTTATCGATGTAATAGAATGTATTGTTGATAGCGGTGGGGTCCAAAGAGTCGGTCTTGTATGTTCTTTTTTGCGTCGGGACCACTTCTATCTCATATCTTACATGGAACATATTACTCCATTCCAAATTACAGGATCATTCATTAGTCATTATATTAATAAGAGACTTATTGATATCCATTTAAAACATTTGAAGGTCTCTTTTATTAACTTTATTAGCAATCGATAGGAGAGGCCAGCTTTCTCTCTCGAATCAGTGCATCAGCTATAGATGCTGGTCTGGCCACAAAAACTTCTCCAGAGCTCAAACAAGAATGGAACACTCATCTGAAATGTTTGATGCTTCTTGGGGCTTCTTTGGCGACCGTTCAGTCACCGGATGATTTGCCGAGTAGCTGATCCAGATGCTGTGGTTGCTCTGCGGCGATACGGACTCAACCCGCTTTTTCTTGCAAGAAGCAACGGCTCGCGCGAAAGCCATTGTGCTGACACACATCTGGGTATTCATCAGTTTCTGCAGATGGGGCTAGGGGAAGGATTTGGTTATTGAGTTATGGGTGTGACTGGGGGACCTCCTACTATCCTATGGGCATATGATTACAAGTTTTGCATGGGCATGTTTACTGCATATTACCGACAGGATTCAATGCAATTATTGCTGGTATTAGTGCATCTATGGAGTAATAATTAACCTTCCACATAAAACTATATCATCCTTTGCATACTTTTTATATTTTATCTCTATATATATGGGAATTCTATATTCTGTGAGGTATGAACAACTGAATTTTCTGCCAATCATATTTTTTGAAAGCAATAATTGCTTTACACTTCTGTGCTAGGTTCCACTTGAGCTGACACTGCTGGATACATAGTGGCATTGTACTTGACTTTTATAGTTATCTACCCCACATGGAACTTACTTCTTTGGAATGTTCTGTTGATGTTTCCAATGGAATTTCCTGTGCCCATTATTATCTCTTATATGTATTTTTCATTAATACTATGGAACATTGCTTTTATAGCCTGAAATCAAGGTACTGCATGTCAAGAAGTGTTCTCCACTGCTTGAAAGCACACTGCTATCAGGTAGCAACTTTCTGACACCGACATGGAAGGCAGTTCCAGATATCTGGAAGTCATCAGCTGATAAATATGGTGATCAGGTTGCTTTGGTAGATCCATATCATGATCCACCTTCAAAGATGACCTACAAACAAGTAAGTTTTATTTTCTTGGCTGGCTCGTTGTCAGTTGTCATAATATTTATATTTTATTATTATTTTTTATAACATGATTGCTTTGTATAGAATAATACGAAAGGGACCCACAAGTAACATGAATACTAAAATAAGTTCTACTCAGTCAGACTTCCAAATTAAAATTGGGTGAGAGACAATGAAATTGTAAAACTTGGTGTAAAATTGGATAAAGAATAGATCTTTTCGTGAACTCAAAAGAAATGCCCACAAATAAGCACTGCAGTCCTCTATGCTAAATGTAGCAATTTCTTACATCAGGGATATATTTCTTAGATGATTAATTAAATATTTCCGAAGTACACTAGCAGGGAATATCTGGCAGAGGTATTGAATCTCTGCTGCTCAGGGTACAGCTTGCTGGTTGCATGGTTGATGCTAGCTAGGTTTTCAATTTAAAAAAAACTTTCAACATCTTTTATTGATTTCCCCTATCACGCACAAAACCTTACATGTACAACCTCTTTTCTCATCTAATAAATACAAAAAAGAGAAAAAAAAAAGAAGCAAAAGGAGAGTAAAATCTTAGAATAGCTTTCCTGCCATATTCAAGAACAAGCTAAGAAAGTAGACAAAGGATCAATGTTTATACAGGGTCAAATTCAGCGGAAAACAGCAGACACCTTCCAATAAAACATCCATATCTCCCAAAGTATCCGTGGGATATCTCTAAGATTTTACAGGGAGAAAGTAGACTAAAAGACAAGGAAATAGACACATCTTGCCCCGGGGACAGTTATTGGAGAGTGAAGAACCATGGGCTTCAACACAACTGCTTTCTGCAGTCAAAAACAGCAAATAGGTTTTTTCTGCCTAAGGTCACTCCAGGACTTCTTACCCTTTCTGTTTCCCTAGACCAATGGCACACCCAGTTTGAAGGCAAAGATCTAATCAAGGTTTCATCTCTCTCAAAAATTTCATCATAGAGAAAACCCTCTCTATCTTTGCACTCTTTTCGTTCTACCATCTTTTCCAAGGTGTTCTCCAATTCTCCATGCACCTCCCTATCCCTTCTTGGTTGAAAAGATAAGATTATTAAATAGGAGAGAGGGCATGTACTTGTACAGACGTGTTTAAGGGTGCTTAGGTAATAAAGTTATTTGCCTACTACTTGAAGTGGGAGATCTAAAGGGTGAGAGAGATTAAATCTTAACCATCAACCTTAGATCAACTATCATGATCCAAGGGCTGGAATCACACCCTTATCCCTAGTAGGAACATTCATAGCAATTTTTCAATTCGATTAGGATTGCATCTTCCTAGAAACCTATGTAACCTAGGAGTTCTAGTCCAATTGGATCTTGTCCTAACTAAACAAATTCTTTTAGAAAATAATTCATAGTCTCCTAGAATCTTTGGAATCCATGGAGATCTAGAATCCATCTCAATCTTTGAAATCTCATAATTCAAAACAAATTAGGAAGCCAAAAAGAGGGAGTGTGCCACGCATGGGCCACACACGTGGGCTCCATTTGACATCAGTTGGAGTGGGGGCTGAAAGCTCTAACCATTAGAATGGCTATAGTGTACAATTTAAAACTTTTCATGCAACAACCTCATGCAAGCACGTGTATACGTCGCACATAATGCAAATTAGAGCAATACACCAATGGAACAAGACTCAAAACCACTACAAATGTGGCTGATAGAAGGCCCAAAACACGCCTCTTACTTCCCCCACTTTATTTTCCATTCACAAACACAATTAGGATTGCTATAAATAAAACAATTTACATTTAGGACAAATTCTGCACAATTATAACAAAACTAGTGCATACAACTTTCAAAAACTTCTATATGAGCACTTAGAATGCGAGCACGTAGAATACAATCTCAATTTACATTCACATAAACTCATATGACGTTGAAGTCACAAGTTTCAAAGAAACAGGAGAAAGTTGTGCAAGATTACCTCAAGGGACTAGTACACTCGATGCCAAATTTTTTGTCTTTGATAGCTCCAGAATCTGAGGCCCACCATGCTTGCTTTGGGAAGCCGAATAAGCTATCCAACTCTCACCAAAAGGATGGGAATGGCGACTAATATTAGACTTGAGGGGCTGCTGTAAATCAGTGGGTAATAATGCTCCAAGGTTGCCTACACCATCAACAATTCGTGAGGCAACATGCCGGGCTCAATATAGATGCCTATGGAGCTTCAAAGGTTATGGAAGGTGACTGAAAATGGGGTTAGAGGTTGCTGGTTGCAGTCACAAAGAGGTTCATTGGAGACTCAAAAGAACATGGAAGAGTGGTATGATGGTGTGAGGGGTGTTGACTCCTACGTAGCATACACCATGGAGCACAAATCAATGAACAATGGCTATGGCTTTCACAGGGGTAAACGCTATGGAGTGGGGTGTGGGAGACTGTTCTCTCAAGAACATTTGGGCTCAATGAGCTTGATAGAAAATGAGTCCCACATTCAATTATGGGAAAAGTCAATCTTGGAATTGAGATTTATTGGAATTGACATTTCTTGGAATCTGGTGTATGCTGTTTGGATCGCATATGGGAGAAATCAAGAAAATGCAAATTCCTTGTTTAGATTGCCTGGAATTTCTTTTTCTTGGAAATGCAAATCCTTTCTCTCTCAAAATTTTCAGATAGTTTATCTCTCAAACTTTTCTCTAAAATTTTGATATATTATCTTTCAAAAACTTAAAATTTGAAATAGTCTATCTCTGTTAAATTTTGAGATAGTTTCTCTCTCTAAATTTTTTATATATTTTCTCTCTCTAAAATTTGATATAGTTTCTCTCTCTAAAATTTAGAGATGCTTTCTCTCTCTAAAACTTAAAATTTGAGATAGTTTCTCTCTATAAAATGTTTGAGATAGTTTCTCTCTATAAAGTGTTTGAGATAGTTTCTCTCTATAAAAATTTTGAGATAGTTTCTCTCTCTAAACAATTTCAGGTAGTTTCTCTCTCTAAAATATGATATAGTTTCTCTCTCTAAATTTTAAGGTACTTTCTTTGTCTAAAACTTTAAATTTGAAATATCTTCTTTCTTAAAAAATTTAAGATAGTTTCTCTCTCTAAACAACTTTAGGCACTTTCTCAATCTAAAATTTGATAAAGTTACTCTCTCTAAAATTTTGAGATTCTTTCTATAAAACTTAAATTTTGAAATCGTTTCTCTCTAAAATTTTAATATACTTTCTCTCTCTAAAACATAAATTTTGAGATAGTTTCTCTATCTAAATTTTTTTAAATAGTTTGTCTCTCTAAAAATTTCAGGTACTTTCTTTATCTAACCTTTGATATACTTTCTCTCTATAAAGATTTAAGATATTTTTTCTCTAAAACCTAAAATTTGAGATAGTTTCTCTCTCTAAATTCAAGAAGTTTCTTTCTCTAAAATTTTAATTTTCTCTCTAAAACTTAAAATTTGAGATAGTTTATCTATCGGCAAATTTTTAAATATTTTCTCTCTCTAAAAATTTTAGGTACTTTCTCCATTTAAAATTTGATATAGTTTATCTCTCTAAAGTTTTAAGACATCTTCTCTCTCTAAAACTTAAAATTTTAAATAGTTTCTCTCTCAAAATTTTTTTAGGTAGTTTCTCTATCTAAAATTTGATATGATTTCTAATCTTTGAAATTTTAATATGCTATCTCTAAAACTTAAAATTTGAGATAATTTCTCTCTAAAGTTTTGAGATACTTCTCTCTAAAAAATTTTAAGTAGTTCCTCTCTCTAAAATTTAACGTAGTTTCTCTCTCTAAAATTTTGAGATACTTTCTTTCTAAAACTTAAGATTTGAGATAGTTTCTCTCTTTAAAATTTTAATATGGTCTCCGTAAAACTTTAAATTTGAGGTAGTTTCTCTCTCTAAAAATTTGAGATAGTTTATCTCTAAAAAATTCGTATATTTTCTCTCTAAAATGTTTTGTATGTTTTCTCTCTCTACAACTTGATATAGTTTCCCTCTCTAAAATTTTAATATGTTTTCTCTCTAAAATTTGATATAATTTCTCTCTTTAAAATTTTATTATTTGTTTGTTCTTCAGCATCAAAATGGGTCATTTCCATGAAATGTCAATTCCACCTATTTTAGTGGAATTGAGATTTCTAAAATTTAGGCTTAAAATGAGCATTCAGGAATCCCACAGAAATCTCAATTTCAACAGAAATGTCAATTCCAACCGAACCAAACACGATTGGCCCAGCTTTTTCAGGAGAAGTGACTACTAGAAATTTGAATCCAAGGAACCAAACGGGCCCAAAGGGAATTAGGCGCCTTGGTTTTGGAATTACAGAACTAGGGCTCTCTAATCGGGCTTGCCTGAAACCCTCTACCATTTCCCAAAAATCGACTCAATGGGACCTATGACCCTCAGTCTCTAGCATCGGCTCATGATTGGCCCATCAATTGCTCAACAATAGATAGTGGGATTCCGGGATTTAGTGGACTACTGGTGCACCCCAAGGAGTACACTGAGCACCACACATAATGGTTCGGAGGTCCCTCTCTGTGGACGCGTGCACGTCCTTCACTAGACGCTCTCCCAGGACAACAACTTCCCCATATACTATCATCATCATGAAATCATTTTCCCAACAATGCTTGTTCCGTCTCTAGGTCAGTCTAATTGGGGTTGGCTAGCTTCCCCATATAACGCAGCTGTTATATACACATGCTGAAAATGGAACTGTATAGAGGGTTTGGCCTTTGTCCTCACAGGCGGCCTCTTATCCGTGGGAACACTTTGTCCCGGCTCCACCATGGGCACACACCAACTTCATATGAGGGATTACCCTTGAACCCTTATAGTAATAATCTGGGTGCCATTGTCCAATCCCTGTGTTAAAGGGTTTATGTGACTCAAAGGTTTCTCACTCGGACACCAGATTGCCTATGCGCAGTGAGTCACAAGCATAAGTGAGCCACCTAATTGTCATCTTTCGGAGCCTGAGCTCCCACTAGAGCCAACAAATCAATAAAAGGTATGAGTTAA